TGAAAACACTTAAAAATGCCACCCCACTAATTTCATTTTAGATTGAAAAGATAAAGTGCTTGGAGCTTCACTCCTCACACCCACGCACATAGAGGATATTCTTGGTTGTTTTCGAATCAATGTGTTTGAGGGTTGTTTAATAGCTGAACAAGTGAACAAAGTGGAAAGCATTTACAGTTTAAAACTTAAAGAAATAAGCTGGTAATAATATTTTTAATTAAATTTTGATAGAGTATTTTATTTGTAATTTAAAAAATATATATAATTTATTTTGTGATACTAAATAAATGACACCATTGCTAGAGAGACTACAAGAACAGCTGTAAAATTTAGGTGTGAAGTTCAACTACAGGCAAAAGCGAAAGGTAATTTCATTCTCTGAATTCTATTTATGCTTATTTATTCGCCTTCAAACAACTTGAAAGAAGAATTGTGAATCAATTTATAGGTTTGATCTGAAAATATATATCAATTCAATTCATGCGAGGTTAAAATGATCTTACTTAATTCAATATTAGTAATACTATTTCCACCTTCCAGATAATGATATTTTTACGATTTCCCAGCATCAAGCATTTTAGAACAAAATTTCCCTGATAAATAATTAGCAGTAAAGCAAATAAAACTTTTTAAGCATTAAAATAATATCAAAGAATGCAGTTAATGCGTTTTTATTCTAAAATAATTAAACAAATATGGAGAGTGGCATATTCATATAGAAAAAAAATAAAAACGAAACAAATAATTAATACAGTTGGTGACAATTTAAAGAATTTATGTTTATTAGGACAAAAATTTTGGAGTTATATTGAAATGCGAGTGCATTGAATCAATAATGTTTTTTTGCCAAACTCAAACCTTACTCATAAGGGAAAGTACACTCCATCATATCTTCAGGATCCGTGTTTGTGACAATTTATGTCCAAATAAAGAGAGTGTGCGACAGACTTGCCTAAATATGGTGCACCCTGGGCATCAAATACTAATACGGCAAAAAATATATAAACGGGCAGTTGACTTCAAACTACCATGACCACCACTCCACAGCACTCACCTTACCCTTTTCCCTACCTTAGTGTCTGTCGCTTTTACATCTGTGAATCGCTCTTCTGTTCCTCCTCTCGACTTTTTCCCACTTTGATGTTCATCCCCTCTGTGAAGCCCGGAGTCAATTAAATATTTAGTGATAACTATCATAAAGCTTCTCCAATGACATAAATGAATAAATGCTGAAAAAAACTAACGTAGAAAATTGGCGTACATTGCAAGCATTTAAACTTTCATTTAACTACCAGTTGCCAACACTTTGAAAACGGTTAGATCCATTGATTAATAGAATATGAATGAATAGTTTTTATGTCTCATTTAATACGGATAACAGAGCAGACGTTACTAAAACCTTTAGCTTAAACTGTGATGTAGGTATTGTGATGTGAGTTTTTGGTGGATTTCATTATTGATTTTCATAAATTTGGGGATTGAAATTGTTTCAACACCACAATCGAACACAAAGCAAAACGAAACTAATCAAAGTCCTTCGTCTTACTTATTGGAATTTGGTTATTAAATTGCAGCCTTTGCGAATTCTAATTGCGAATTATGTAGTGTAATTAAACTACGCACTTGATACTGTGTGCCAATATGGGTTTGATTGATCGTATCCTTATGGTTAAAATTACGTGGATCTTAATTTTGAGCGGGAACTTAGACAAGGTTGTTTTGAAAATTTATTGCCAGTATAATATTAAGATAATTTCTCTTCAATGGCTAGCATTTTTATCTATTTTTTCATTATTTTTATGAACTAATCATTCATAATTTATGATGAAATTTCACTTCTATATTAAGGCCACATTCAATGAAATTTGTGAAAAATTTATTTTCTTTTTTGAGATAATAAGCAAAAGCTAACCTTTGCAGCAGCAAGTAAAATATCGAGTAGAACAAATATCTAGGATATTCTGGTTGACAGCAAATAAGTTACTGCACGGCATAACAACTCATTGAATCTGTAGCGGATTGCTACCTTAGTAAAGCCTGACTGACTCAGAAATCTCTATGGCAGATTCCCTAAGTAAAGCCTGACTGACTTAGAAATCTCTATGGCAGATTCTCCTGACTCAGAAATCTCTATGGCAGACTCTCCAACATCTTGTTTTAGTAAAAATTAAAATATTTATGAATGAAAAATTAAAAAATAGGGCCCGCTAATTATGAAACATAAGAAAGCGCCCAAATGAAGAATCATGCCCAAATTTATATTGTTCAAAATAATTATTAATTTATAAAAAATGCGCATCTTTATTAATAAGATGGCGTAAGCACGGTCCAGGAATATTTTTAGGATTAGATCAAAACCCACAATGGTGTATATTCACATTGAATAATTATTAATAGCGTTTCACGAATTCGCACATCAAATCTCGGATCTTTATTTATATTTATTTCAAATGGCAGGCTTTATGATATTTATCATTAGCCCTTAAACTTTGACTTCAGCTTCCCCCAAGGGTGTGGGGGGGGGGTACATTTATAGCAGTTAATTAATAGCAGTTCATTAGCCGTCTTCTTGTTTCCCAGTATCTCTGACTCTCCGTCGTTGTCTTTAGAGCTGGACACCGAATCAGGTGGGTCTTCTCCATTTCCTCCTGTAGGTTACATAGTTACCTAGTTACTGAGTGTATGCTCCCAATCTGTGAAGGTGTTTTGCCAAGCAATCGTGTCCGGTACGTAGTCTAAACTCATCAACGGCTTCGTTTCTTGGCCAGTCGGCTATGTCGGAGAGTTCCATTGTCCACTGTTTCTCCTTTGTTCTAGCTTTAAGTTCGTTGCACCTTGAGGTCTGGAATTCTCTCCTGATTAGCGCCTTCATTGTGTGGAAAGACATCGGCCAGTCTATGCATTGCAAAATTATTGTCCCCTTCTTAGCTAGTGTGCCAGCAAGCTCATTGCCTTTAATGCCAGAGTGACCAGGAATCCATTGTAGGACCACTGTTTTGTTTTTCTCTCTCAGCAGCTCATAGCGTTTTCCAATAACCACTGTTTTGTTTTTCTCTCTCAGCAGCTCATAGAGATTTCTACATTTATTTATCTCAGCTGTTTTGGGTGTTAGTTCATTAACAGATTTCGCTGAAAAAAAATATTTCACTACCTTCAAAGTTTGATATATCTAGATTCCTTGCTATTTTTTAAGGACAACTTTTCAATAAATCATTTTATTAAGTAAAATATAGTTTCTGATAAAATTGTTTAACCTGTTAACACACATTAAGACTTCATTCTTTTAAATGTTGAAATGAACAAGATATTAAATGTCGTTTTCACAATTCTAACTTAGCCTATTTTCAGCAAAAAAGTTGATGATAATTGCTTTACAAGATAAAAGATCATATGAGAACTTTCTAGACTTGCTACTTGCCAAAGTAATGTACATTCGTTACTTATGTTTTGTTTAGAATAAAATAATGTAATAAATCGTTTTAAATTAAGTAATGGGCACGCACTACGAACAATGCCCAACTATTTATTACCTCTCCTAAGATAAAATATATCATAGTATTGACATAGTTGGCTAGTACGAGAGGGTCGATTGTCCCAAACCCTAGAGTCGTTTATAAAGCGATTCTGGAAACATCTGCCATAAACTCAGATAAGAAAGAACGTAGACCGTGATTTGCATTGTATTTCATTCCCTACTCTAGCATGGGCCAATTGAAAAATATATCCTTATAAAGAATGTGTAGGGTGAAGAATTATACACTTCTACAAGTAATTAAGACACAAACTCCAAAATAAATAAAAGCAAAAGAGATGCTAGAATTATAAAATATTGGTATAGTAAACTTCTATGCTGAACGTTGACACCTTGGCAAATTTAATAAAATCACCTTTGTGGCAGCGTTACATGCTACAGTTACTATGGCACAAGATAGGACATTCGAATAAGTTCGGCCTGAATCTTATCGAATAATGCTGTCACTATTTAGATCTTTTCATGAAGAAAATTTCTTTCATCCTTCCTCGAAATACTGTAGAGATTTTGGTAAATGGGTCGGGGGATTTGTTTATAAATTAAGATAAATTATGGTTAAATTCTTTGATTTTTTAGTTTGGAAATGGACTTCAATCAACCATTCGATAAAAATTCATGTAAACTGGATGATTTCAGTAAATACGATTATTTTTATTTTCTTTTGCACATACTTTATAGGACATTAACGCAATTTTGCTGTGATTATTATTTCCGTGCAAAATTGTGTTTGAAAAGGTATAGATTAATCGAAGCATTGCCAGTTATGTGATTAGCCAAAATAGAGATGGATAATCATGACCTTCTTTTTTAAATAATTCCAAAGAACTTTTGTAGCGATGAAAATGGGTATTATTATGCGTAAACTCTCAAATCATGTCAACTGCTAGAATCACAATGATGATTAGAGCAGTTACTCCCTTCTCCTCATTAACTTCATTGACGAGGCTTCTCAATTGTTAAAATCCGTTTAAAAGTTACCGTTACCATTAATCATTTAAAGTATTGCTCGTTTACGCTCCTGCCAATCATCTTTTTCCTATGAAATTTTTCTGATTTGTCCTCTTTTTTAGACACATCACAATTGTAAATGCATACTTCATAAATCACTTAGAGGGTGGTTTGACCGCCTATGATTATACGATTAGAATGCTTACTCTGTTAAATTCTCAAATAAAATTAAGAAATACTGACCATTATGGATTACGACAAAAATTCTAATAATGTTAGACCACGTCACATTTCCTATTTTAAAACTTTATGCCTGAAGTATCATGAAAAACCACAATAATGCATGTTAGGAAACTGTCTTTCCTAATTTAGGTTATAGTAATTACACGAGAAAATGGAAAATCTCATATTTGTCTTGGTTCGTAAAGTTTTTTAAAATCATTTACATCTGAGTACATAATAAAATCTTATACAAAAATACGGATGGGATACCAGTGGAAATCTACCAGCATTGACGAATTTATTTCTTCTTGCCAAAACGGCCCCTCTTCGTTTTCACATTTTTGTTCGCAGCTACTCTACTATCTTTCGATTTGTTGAGAGACTTCTCTTTAGATTTAGATTTTTGCTTTGGCTTTTCCACCTTCTCACTCTCTTCCTTGCTCTCAGATTCAGTCTCACTCTCTGAATCAGATTCTTCAGAAGTATCATATGAATCAGAATCTTCAGAGCTTTTATCCGAATCTGACTCATAGCTAGAGGATTCCTCATCAGAATCAATAGTGGAAGATTCTTCAGATGAAGTTTCTTGCGAAGAGTCATCATCACTATGGATCTTCGAATTTTCCTTTTCCTGTTTTTTTGATGAAGTGACGACAGACTTTTTTGGATTATTTACGGACCTTTTAGCCGCCTGTTTTTCAGATTTCCTTTTTGCCCTCGCTTCCCTTTTCATCTTTAGTTTCTGTGCAAATTTACCCATTTCAAGATATCTAAATACACAAAATAGAAGTAATAAATGCTGAAAATAATGAAAAGTATTTACAAATTTTTAGTTATTGAGAAAATAACCTTTTTACAATTATATACTTCAAGTTCTCTTAGCATTCAATTTAGATTCTCATTATATAGGAAAAACGCAGCGGACAAATGCATCGTTCAATTAATTAATTCAAACACACTCAAGGGTGCTAACTAATAAACTCGTACAAAATCCACCATCTAGAAAGTAAAGCTTAATTTATTTATAAAATTTAATTTATAGGCAGGTTTTTAATATAATTGAATTTATGATCACTATATTATTAATAATTTAAATGATGAACATTTCTTCTTTTCAACTTGATCCTCAAAAATACGAATTTTTCAATAATGCAGAAATCACTTTGTAACTCCACCTTTTTGGTTTTTTCTGGAGACCTGACATTCCAAAACAAGGTTTAGAGGAAATGCAATTCAGTAAATGCGTTTGAAGTTAATAATATCTGTCTATTAATTCTAATCCTTGGATCATCGAAATTATTCATCCCTTTAGCTTAGCCAAAGCTACTAGTGTCTTAATGCCACTGATAAAGTCACCTCCATCACTTAATTCTTCTAAATCTCCTGCAATTATTCGCAATTTTAAATAAGATATATAGGAACCATTTATATAATTCATTGATTACTAATATAAGCAAGGTGTTGATTGGATAGAGCTTACTTAACTTTAATAAGTCGAACACATTGTAATATAAATGCCATTGAGCATCTTGTTTTCTTTGGAATATAATTAGTTTATTAAACAACCACTTAAATCGATGCATAAAATTTCATTTGTTTAATTCGGACATGAACAAATTTTGACTATCTTAATAAAGACTAATAAATATTTATTTCAACAAATTATGTATAAAAAGGATTTAATTTAATGCCAATATGCGATTATACTATTTAACAAAGTGAACTACACATCTGTATCGAGTTTGTTGTTCATCAGATCGAAAAATGTGGTTGTCCATTCAAATGCTGCTATCAGCTGACTATCGCGAAAATTATCCTTAAACTAATTTAATCACTCCTGAGATTTCAGCAAAACATCGCACTTCTAAATGTGCACTGCTAAAAGCCTAGAGTTACATGAGGCCCATTTTTAAAATGAAACCATTTCAAATATTGTATCATCTTCGGCACACCAAAGTGGTTCTGTTTATTTAATGACATTTGAAGGAAGTATGAAAATCAGAAATAGCTTTTTAACAGTGCTGGTGTTTAGCTTCACTAAGATAGATTTCAAATTGTGAATATTTAACCTAGCATGTGAAATTGACACAATAGATTTTCATTGGTTTTACGGTATCAAACAGAAAAGGGATATTTCTTCATAAGTTGACTAATTAACTAAATTAATTGCATTGATCGATAACTAACTAACTCATTGATAGCGGCAGTCTATTCATTTTTTCATTCGAACATTCATATTTCAGCCCTTATTTTAGTCAAATGCTTGATTTTATTTATGTCATTTCCAAAAGTATCACAAAATTCAAATTGAGCTCTTTTTAATACCTAAGCCACTAAAGTTATACATTTAAATGTCTTAGTCTTTGTCTTACCATAGATGAATCGTTGATAAATGGTGATGCGCAAACTGGAAGAATAATCAAACGTTAGATGATGAAAGGATTACATACGTTCCACCATCAGATTACGAAGCCCAGACGCATTAAGGTTGAACTGATTTCTTGGTTTCCCCAACCCCCCCCCCCCTAACTTAATGTCGCAAAATTTAAACTATAATATTTTCTTGATTTATTTTTACTACGCTTTAAATATAACTCACAATGTGCTATAAATGAACTAGGAACTTAAAATAGATTAATGAAAATGAAGTAGATGCGTGTGGTGGTGTGAAAGAATTTAGCAAAACTAATTTCATTTTCGTGATCAATTCTTATAACTCACAATATTTTTCCCATTAAATTTTATTTTGGGTTACAATTTTGGCACAAATTAGATGAAAAATTTCTTTGCGTGAAATTTTATTCAAACTTTTCATGCAATTATTTTGTGGGTCTACATAAATTTAATGTTTGAGAAAACAATCACACAAATACCAGAGCTCTAATCAGTTTGATTAAGCATGGATTTTCTGGTAATTTTATGAAACAGAATATTTCTGATATCACCAAAAAATTAACATTCACCTCTTGAGACAAGTCTCCAATGGTGCTAACTTAATCAATTGGTTTACATATCAACTGACCTTTTAAAAAATTGGGATCTTGCGTGCTCTGAGTTTAACGTGAATGGTAATTAATTTTGATGTGACTGAATTCAATAACTCAATTTAATTGTTGCCTGTAAATCCATTTACATCAACTTCCATCAAATTTGTAAATTGATGCTCTGGTGTGATACCTTGTAGGTACATTTACTTGCAACTTTTAATTCACCTACCAATATTAGTGGTTTAATATTGAAGACAAATGCTTGCGGCGTGTGCACATCGCCATTATAGCCGAGCAAAAGAGTCTCATGCGCATCCAGACGGACTCAAAGTTGTTGCCGCACCACGTCGCGTGAGGGTCATGCCACTTGTCACGTAAGGAGCATATGTGGTAGTGAGCGCGCAGGCCACCCAACCAACTTCTAATCAATTGTCCTTACTGGAAGATTAGAATGCCAGCATGAATTCATTTTCGAAAAAGAATTACTTGAGTTGGTTGATTTAAAAACTTAGTGTTGTTTGTTTTACCAATGGACACTACGCGCAACTTTTAACTACTTATGGGAAATAAAATGCTTGTATGTCTGGAACTGCGAAACCTTTGCGCGTGGGCACCATCTAGCCAACCGTCAATCAACATACAACCCTTAATAGGTGTTTCGCATCATACGTCTGCATCCTATATAGATTTATGAAAGCTTAGCTAGTCCTGAAAGCATTTTCAAACATATGGAAGATGTCATACAGATTGCTGAGCACAAGTCAAGGCCAATTGGTGATGCAATTGGCTACACGATAATTAAACATGATATAATTAAGTATCTGTTCAGATTCCTAATCATAATTAATTTTACTTACAATAATTATCAAAATGTATAAAAACTTTTTCTGCTTAATCATGATAAATCTGGCACTAGGCAATAAATAAACAAAATGATAAATGGCCTTTTGGTTCGACAGGTTCGTTTGTTATCGAATTCGTCAGGTTACGTAATTGATTTACAATCTAGTGTAATTGAATTCGTCCTCGAAGTGGAAGACTAAATAAGTTAGCATCCAGTAAGATGAACGCCAGCATGAACTTATGTTGCCCACTTGATGCACTATTATGCAACCATCGGATCTTGGTTGATCTCAAAGTTTATGATGTCTGTATTGCAAATGAACACTGCTCCGAAAAGTGCTGACGTGAAGGCATTACATTGAGGGGTAAATAAGGTCACGAGTACAGTGACAACTCCACCAATCAATTAACAATAGTAATTAAAGTATTATTGCATTCAAGACGGAGTTGATAACTGTGCTTTATAACGCCTACATGTTACCCAGAACACACACACACACATTTCAAGTACACGTATTTACTCTAGTCTATCGCACCTTAACTGTTGAGGTTGCGTATTTATTCCCCAGAGCCATTCCCAACGAGGAGAAAGTACCATTGAGATAACTGAGCATAAATTTTAGCTTCTTAATGTATCAATCCACTTTACACTCATTACATGTAAACATGAAATCTTGAAAATATGTTTGAACGAGTTAGGAAAAGACGCAACTGATTTTAATCGTTATATTTTTAAAGAGAAATGCAAAACTATGGGAATGCATTTAAAGGAATTTGAATCTCGTGAATGGCCTTGATACTCTGCATCGATAAGGAATAGCAGGATCACTTATACTAGGAATTTGATTTTGGCTTCACTTCCTCAACAGACCCTGTCGATGAATGTGTAGAATCATCTATATCATCCTCGGAGGAATCTTCCTCTGAGTAATCCGAGCTCGATGTTTCTTCGGAGGAATCTCCGTCTGAAGACTCCTCATCTGAAGAATCCTCATCTGAAGACTCCTCGTCTGAAGACTCCTCATCCGAAGACTCCTCATCCGAGGATTCCTCATCTGAAGAATCCTCATCCGAAGACTCCTCATCTGAAGAATCCTCATCTGAAGACTCCTCATCTGAAGACTCCTCATCCGAAGACTCCTCATCCGAGGATTCCTCATATGAAGACTCCTCATCCGAAGATTCCCTGTCTAAGTTTATATAGGAATCTGAATCTGAACTTTCCTTCTTAGTTTCGGTCACCTCATCTACTATTGATGACTCCTCATTAGATTCACTTTCCCAACCGCTGTTGGCATGAGCAATTATCTTCTTTATTGCCTCCTTCTTTCTGAGTTTACTCTCCTGCTTCGCAGTATGCCGAGTAATGACTGCTGACTGTTGAAAGTCTTCACCATTGGATTCAGTGGAGTCTTCCACAACATCTTCTCCTATACTTCTGTTATTCCGTTGCTCTTCATTAGTCAACTTTAGCGCAGCCTTTTGAGCTTTGCTATTCTCTCGAAGTTCCTTCTTTGCTTGCCGTTTTGCTCTCAATCTTGCAATAAAGCGAACCATTTTGATTCCTCTTCACAATTGGGAGTCAACTCCTAGTTTTAATTGCAAATGAAACCACGTGCTAAAAAGGAGTGTTACACTTTAACGTATATATACTAATGGTTGCTCTTTTTACTGGTTAAAATATTGTCACACAATCGTAGCCTTAAAACCAGGTAATTGCAAAATTCGTTTGGGAGCGATGCAGACCCTATCGAATTGGTGCATATTCTCTTTAAATGGATTCAAATAAAACCTTCTAAATGTGGTACAGCTGAAAATTGGCATTAATTTGTCATGCAGTTAAAAGAGTCATTTAAAAATTGTAGACCGTAATCGCAAAGATAGTTGCTGCCAGTTACAGTTTTTTGCAAAACTTGGGCTGTAAAAAGGAGTCCATTTTCAAGAATGATTAATAATAGGACCACTTAGAATACGATTGGCTTCACACGAAATCAATTTTAGTGAAAAACATTTCATCGATCTTTTGATTGCATAATACTTCTAAAATATGGAACGATTGGGACTAATTAGAGATTAATTGTCAAGTTTATCACTATAATTGAAGCAACACTAAGATTGCGATGGATTTAATAATAAACAAACTTAGGTGGAAAATGGTTTAATCTAATTTTAATCACATAATGCCACACCAAATTATCACTAAAATATCCAACAACTTTGATCAGTTTAAGTTAAAACATCAAAATTGTCAATGAAATAGAAGTGCTGTTAGTGCTGACTTGAAAGTTGAGATGCTTCTAACAACTGTGTCTACGTTGGTCATTCGAAATCATTAAAAGCATTTTATGAACAACTTCTGCAACTTCTTACCATTAACCACAATCTTGAGATCACAATACCAATAGATTAATTTGACTATAAAAAACTGACAAAACTACAAGCCAATGAGTTTAAAGAAATCGATTTGAGGTGAAAGCTTGAAATGATCTAAAGACAATAACTTCATCAAAGAATTACTCCACTGTTGGTCAGTTTACGTTTGAATCAATCGCATTCAAAGTTAACTATTTACAGTAGGTACGTAGGGCAGGTTAACCAATTCCACTTACCTGTTGAGGACCTCCGTATTTATGAAAATAATCAGGATGGTAATTTGTTAAATATTATCTGATTAGAATAAACAATGTAAAATATAGAGTGGTCGTCTTTTTGCTCCAAAGTGAAAAATACCAACATGCTGATAAAAATTCAAACATAAAAGCCAATGAAAAACAAAATCTTGTCTAGTTACGAATGGGGTAAAATTTCTAATTCCTTTCTATTGGACATATTATGTGTCATGTTTGTAAAATTTTAATGTAAACTTCCCAAGGACCATAGCTCCTCTTTATAGTCAACTACTCAACTGTGTCATTGAAAAGAGGTTAGGATAGTTTCCAAACACTGGATATATTGTCATCATCGTTTGCTTTAAAACAAAGAGTTGTAATTACATTAATGCGTCGTAATAAAATACTTTAACCACAAGGACGCATAACCAAGACGGTAACCTAAGTAAAAATTCAAATGAAATTGAGGACTTGATGAAAAGTGGAAAAAAGGCAATTTATTCAGGGGAGACGCTTCTATTGGCTTAGAAATGGGTCTAAGTATTAGCGTAAAATACAAGTCAACCTGTTAGAATCTAAATTTCAACATATTATGCAAATTATTGATTATTTATGCAGTTAGGTATGGTACACCTGGAGAAATCTGTCATGCTAAACTTAATGAAGCGACTTTAAATAGAATTGCACTCTACTTCTTCTCTCCTACATACTCTTAATTATAAATAAAAGGTGTAGTTAAGATTTTCAAACTTGCCTATCTGAGAATTTCTTAAAAGCGTTCTTAACAATCACCATTAATACCTAATTGAGTCAAATAATCGATATAAAGGTTTGCCCTTTGGGTGTACATTTGATTTACTAATAATGAGATGTATCAAATGTCGATTTAAATTATAAAATGGATGATAAATTAAAATAACTTGAAATAAAGAATATCATTGCACTGATAGATTTGCCGTCTGTGGTCTTAGAAAACAAT